AAAAAAAAAAAAAAGAAAATAATAATTTACTTGATCTTGAAGAATACGTAATTGTCGTAAAGTATTTTCATCATTCATTTGCATTTCATCATTTGAACTTTCATCTGTTGATCCATCATCATCAGAACTTATTATCATTGATGTTGGTGGTATATTATTATTACTACTACTATTTATTATATTATTATGATTTTTTGATGGATTACGACTACGTTTTCGTGTTGATGATGGTATTGGACCATTATTACGTATAGTATTAACTGATGATGGATCTATGTCAAGAGTTGGTGTTTGTGGTTCATCGGGTAATTTAGCATATTTATTTTCAAACATTTGCTAGAAAAATAAAAAATAATAAAAGATAGAATTTATGACCACATAAAAAATAAAAGATTAATTGTTGTATTTAATCGATATAGTTTTTCTTTTTTTTTTTTATGAAAAATATAATGATTAGACAACTTAGAGGTTAACGTTCTTTAATATGATTTGTCAACTAAACTGTTATTTTGCCTACAGGTAGGTCTTATTGACCTTAGAATGTCCTGAAAAGTTTAGGCTAAAAGAATCTATATTGAATATGAAAGGAACAAAAAAAAGTAAACAATCATTTGTTACAAAGGGGATATTCAGAACTTTTCTGATATCCATATTGAAATTCGAATTCATTCATCATGAGGGACTGACGTTTCTCCAAAGATTTCGCATTCGCTCTTACGAATGAAACCCTGTCCCCCAGAGACCGCAACAACCATTGTTAATACATGACCACAGACTGTATACCAATAATGTTTCGCTATAGTATAAGAACTACTTATTGCATGTCAGAAGGATTTAAGTAAAAGCATGATGAAGAAATGTATCCCAAAATAGATCGAATGAAGTAATCTCGACAATAGCTACATCGCCGCAGGGATTGTACTGACAGTTTTTTTTTTATATACTATATTTATTTTTTTTAATCTATTAAAATAACTTTTCTTTTTATTTGAAATGACTATGCCAATTGATACCTGTTCTTTGAACTCACAGCAGGTTTCAATGAGATTAACAAAAACCTAATAAGGTTCATCTCTCTCCCGGCCTTCGGTCGATTTACTGGATTTTAATAACCGATCTTCTTGCGAATATCTAAAAATCGACCGAAGGCCAATAGAGAACAAACCTATCCGAACTCCTATACATACGGATTTTTTTTTCTCTTGTTATATATGAAATTTAAAACATTATTTAATTTACCTCAACTTTTTTGCACATAGCTACAACATCTGTATTAGGTCCATTATAAAGATAACAATTGCTAAATATAAGTCTAACATCAGCAGCAAATTCATCTGGTGATGCATATTCACGATTTTCAAGTTTTTTCTTAACAAAAAAGAAAACTTAATAATAAATTCTTTTTTTT